GAGAAGCTTGAAACTCAGTAAAGATGTCTTATGGGGAGGAAAGCAGCTGTAACAGATTTCCATCAGTATCAAGGTCAAATATTTTCAAGCCTCTCTTATTTACGGAAACATATTAAACCCACTTTATATTCTCCATCTGATACTGCTATCAGTCGGTACCTTGTTCCCTTACATATTTCATATTTTCTTTACCATGAGTTAGCGGTTTATTTCCCTTGCAACTTGATCTGCGGAAAATGTGTTCAGGCCTGAGATAAAGAAGAGTGCCTCTGGAGAGTATTTGCATTAGCTTCTGATAGACACCAGGGGGAGTACAAATCATGACTTCCTATTAAATTCTCAGCTGGGAGTTTTGGAGCTCTTCCTCAGACTGTGAATTCCAGGTGCAATCTCTGCATGAGGGCTGGATTACAGTTATGAATTCTCAGGAAGTTTCTTTTCCTCTACCATTCAGCCACAGGTTTTTCCTGGTGCTAAAAGATTGCTGAGGAGATTATTTTTAGTTTGTGTTGCTACTGAAGGACTAGCCCAATTTTCTAAAGGATATCTACTTCTGTTGTGCAAAGCCCAAAAGACTGGAATTTGCAATCAATTTTTATGTGTCAGAGAGTTGGACAATGACTAGGGAGGATAGGAGGAGAACTGAGAGCCTTTGAGCTGTGGTGCTGGAGAAGAATATTGAGAGTACCATGGACTGCTAAGAAAACAAACAGGTTCATCCTGGAAAGGGTTAAACCAGGCGGCTCCTTGGAGGCAAGGATTCTGAAGCTTCATCTAACATACTTTGGACATGCTGGAAGGAGGGACCAGTCCTTGGAGAAGGACATCATGCTTGGGAGGGTAGAGAGACAGCGTAGGAGGGGAAGACCATCCATGAGGTAGATTGAGTCAGTGACTGGGGTATTCAGGGTGGATGTGTCAGAGACAGCGAGATAGGCACAGGACAGAGCAGGGTTTAGGGCTGTTGTACATAAGGTCACTATGAGTCACAAGCGACTCGATGGCACATCTACTTCTAATACTCTTGTTTCAGCTGAATCCTAGAATGTCTTGTCCCCAAACCCATAAAACTGTTAATCCAATGCTAAGGTTTATTCAAGTAGGCATATACCCTCAAGGCAAAAATAAGTTTCAGGCTTTATCTATCTCTTTGGGGTTTTATTCTAATTAAGTCCTTGATCTGAGCTTATTTCTAAATGAAAATAAAATAGTACTACATTACAGTATGTTGCTATATTTTGGCCTAGAATAGTTAGCTCTTTTGAAATTATTGATCCTACCTAACTGCACCAGGGATGTGTCCTATCTCCATACCTTTTCAACCTGTATGCAGAGCAGATTATCAGAGAGGCTGGGTTCTATGAGGAGACGCATGGCGTTAGGATTGGTGGAAGATCTATCAACAATCTGCGTTATGCAGATGACACAACCTTGCTCGCTGAAACTGAGGAGGACCTCATGCACTTACTGCAGAGGGTCAAGAACTGCAGCCTTCAGTATGGACTGAGGCTCAATGTCAAGAAGACAAAGATTCTCACCACTGGACCAATTGGTAGCATCAGGATGGAAGGTGAAGAGATTGAGATTGTTCACAGCTTCAGTTTGCTCGGCTCCACAGTCAACACTCTTGGAACCAGCAGTCAGGAAATCAAAAAGCGTATCGCGATGGGAAAGTCTGCTGTTAGGGACCTCTCTAAAGTACTCAGGAGCAACGGTGTCTCTGCAGATGAAGGTGCACCTGATACAGACCATGGTCTTTGCAATCGCTTGTTATGCATCAGAGAGTTGGACAATGATTAGGGAGGACAGAAGGAGAGTTGACGCCTTTGAGCTGTGGTGCTGGAGAAGAGTACTGAATGTACCATGGACTGCCAGGAAAACAAACAGATTCATCTTGAAGAGGATTAAACCAAGCTACTCCTTGGAGGCAAGGATTCTGGGGCTTCGTCTGACATACTTTGGACATGTTGCAAGGAGAGACAGGTCTTTGGAGAGGGACATCATGCTGGGTAGAGTTGGAGGGACAGTGCAGGAGGGGAAGACCCTCTATGAGATGGATTGATTCAGTGACTGGGGTAATTGGGATGGGTGTGTCAGAGGCAATGCGATTGGCACAGGATAGAGCAGGGTTTAGGGCTGTTGTACATAAGGTTGCTATGAGTAGCAAACGACTCGACGGTACATAACAACAACAACATCTAACTCTCCAAAGTACTGAAGAGCAATGATGTTAGTCTGTAGACAAAGGTGCGCCGGATACAGGTTATGGTCTTTGCAATCATCTTTTGCTATACATCAGAGAGCTGGACAATGACTAGTGATGATAGGAGAATCAATGCCTTTGAGATGTGATGTTGAAGAAGATTCTGAATATACCATGGACTGCTAAGAGAACAAACAGGTTCGTCCTCGAGAGGATTAAAACAGGCTGCTCCTTGGAAGCAAGAATTCTGAAGCTTTGTCTGACATACTTTGGACATGCTGCAAGGAGGGATTGCTCCTTGGAGAGGGATGTCATGCTTGGGAGGGTGGAGGAACAGTGCAAGAGAGGTAGACCATGATGAGATGGATTGATTCAGTGGCTGGGGTAATATAGGGGTAGGTGTGTCAGAGACAATGAGATTGGCACAGGATAGAGCAGGCTTTAGGGCTTTTGTACATAGGGTCGCTATGGGTCACAGGCGACTCGATGGCACATAACAACAACAACAACTACATCTAACTATCCAGGAGAGTGGTATCAGATTAGCTCTTGAGCAGGGCACAGCGTTCTTTATCTTTTATGACTTGGGAACATAACGCATGTATTTCACCTAAAACATGAACAACAAATACATTCAAGACTTTTTGTTTGTGAGTTTTATTTGGCAATTTTAGGGTTTTCTGGGGTTTTGTTTCCCAGTAAGAAGACGGATTTATGCTTCTAATACATCATGCTAGAATAAGTGGAAATTCATTCATTCCACACATTCTATATATAGTTAATTCTACTTTGTCACTTATTATTTTTTTATATTTGCACTTCTCCTTATTTTTTCTTAATCAGGTTTAGCTAGTCATTTATCTATTTAGTTAACTCTTCTAAAAAAATCAAGTTTAATTTACTAATTAGTTCTATAGTTTAATTATTATTCTCTACATTTAGTTTCTGGATTTTCTTTACTATTTATTTCTATGTTTTCTTTTCTTTTGGATTTGTTTTCCAGTTTTTGGAAGTAGGAATTCAACTCTTTATTTTTACTCTTTTTTACTTATATTGAGAAGATTGTTTAGTGCAAAGAATTTCCCTCAGACCATTGTTTTAAATGCACTCATAGATTTTAAAACATGTATTTTTACATTTATTATTTTAAAAATTTCCCTTCTATTCAGGAATTATTAAATAGGAAGATTTTATAAATTTTCTGGTGGATAAACCTAGTTTTTATTATTGTCATTTCTCATATTGTTACATTGTCATTAGAGATATGAGCGGGTTTTGGTAGTATTTTTTACTTTATAAGAATTAATGTTATTTTCTTTTGTAGCTGTGCTGTAAGCACTTGAGCAGAATGTATTCTGTATTCAAATGCAATATATATGCAGAAAATTATGCTTTTAATAGTAATTTAAAGAAAATAAATGCTAAAAATGATAAGGTTCCTATATAACTAAGTTTAAACCTCTATTAAATGAATGAATAATTTCCTATGAAAATACAAATAACCAAAACCTGGTTCCATGAGAAAGGCTTAAATAGAACAATTTTCACAAGAGAGACAATGCTGTAAGGAACTACAACACCCTCACACACCCCTACACACACATCACACACACACACACACACACACACACACACTCTGAGTCAAGTGGTATGTCTTTAGAGAGGAATTTTATCAAATCTTCAAATCTTCAAAGACTAGATAGTCTCATTAGTCTAAAGGCAGAAAAACAATTCCTTTTACTAAATTAGAAGGAAATGGATAAGCCAAATAAAGACAATTCAAGGAGTAAAGATCTATAGCTCTGGTGGCTTAGAGGTAAGAAGCTCCTCTGACAACTTAAAGGTACTGGGTTTGAATCTACCAGCTGCTCCATGGCAGAAAGATGGGCAACTTCCTCCTGTGTAATTTAATGCCTCTGAAAAGCTGCTGGGGGTCAGGCAGGGTCAGTTCTGACTTGATAGCACTCAACAACAACAATAATATATGATGTAGGGGTATTAGTACAACTGTCCTAAAAAATGTATCTTAGGAAACCAAATTCAACATCATATTCTGAAAAATATACACAATGACCAAGTGCAATTTATTTCAAAAATACAAGGTAACAATATTTAAAACCTACTTTTAATGCTTTATACATATATGTTAACAAATCTAAGGAAACAAAATATATGATTACTTTCACTGACCCTGAAAATGCTTTTGACAAAATTCAATGCTCATTCATAATAAAGTCATTCTAGGCCTTTTATTGTAAGAACCACCTTCCCTCTGAAACTTGATTTGTGCCACTATTAGAACCTCTACTCAGAATATTATTGCTTTTTAATTTTTGCCTCATGTACTTTTAACTTGTTAGTTAAATTTGTGTCTTCTAGG